GATTTTGATGACCTAAAAATATCTCAAAAATGATCTATAAAATGACCAAAAATATTTAAAATATGATCTAAAAACTAATTTCTAAATTTTCTTAAAATCAGGTAGATGCGGACTGTGTAAATTAGTTTCCAATTTCTTGATTTTATGACACCCGAACATCTCTTTAAACCTACCCCTCTGCATTTCTGAGGCATCAATTTTATGGATTTAAGACATAGCGGTGGCTTATAAAGCGGCGCGGGACAGTAACGGCATCTCTGGCGGCTTAGAAAGAAAAATAATGTGCCCTCTCACAAACAAATCTATTATACTTAGCGACAGAGGCTAGAGATACAACACAAAATTTACTTGAAGAACATAGATTTCTACCTCACGAATCAAATATCTTCAGTTTAATTAACGAATGTCAATTATTAAAAAACGTGAAAGATAGCCAAAATTGATGTAAAACATGAAAAACGACGACAGTGACAAAAAACTCGTAAAAAATGACCTAAAACTTAAAACATACAAAATATGACAAAAATGCACAATAAAATTCACATTTTTATAACCAGAGGTTCATAATCGGGGCTTTAGTACTTAAAAGCAACGTTTACTACATAAAGAAAAAAAGATGACATGTCAAAATCCGAGCCCTGCTTATGAGTAACTATCCGCCAGCCACGGAAGTCGAACCGTGCAATATCGTAAAACTATAGACGTCACACACAACACAACCGCTTGATTTCATAACAGGACTCCATATATAACCCAGGATACTATGGAATGCTGAAACACGGAGTATCAATTAAGAAGAAATATATTTTAACCAGTTTTGTCGAAATTCAACGATAATTGGATATACTGTAGTTGTAACCAATTTCAACACTGAACTAGGAAAGGCAATACAGTGCAGCAATTACATGAAAGTATCTACCTGATGATGACCTTACAAGGTCGAAACATGTCGCAAAAGTAACCTTTATAAAAAAATGACAATGTATGATACCAACAGTCTACATACACGACAACAATTTGCAATTTTAAGACTACCCCTCCAGATTAAATCGTTATAATTCCTTCTTTTGAGGCTTCAAGCTGAAGAAGCACTTCTTGTCGGGCACCTTGTGCTGTGCCCTGCTATCTTCTTATCAGCTGCCCGAGAGGGAGTGACATGTCGTGGTGATAACGGCTCCCACTTTTCATGAATTACGAACGGAATATAAAATATGCGAAATATAATATTAGAAGAAATAAAAGTTTGATGAATGTTAAAGGAAAGCTGAAGACACAAGTATCGTATAAAAAAGGATACCATTTTACAAAAAAAAAAACACTATTGTAATAAAGCGCTTTCAGGGAAAGCCTGAAACAAAAACATTAAACTTTCGCAACAGCTTCAGTCACAGCATATGTTCCGCATAAAGGATTGCGCTAGAATTCTATAGAAACTAGGTCAATGCAGAGGTTTTGTCAGCTATAGTAATACTATTCCATTGCTAACATTACAATCTGCCAACACTATCTTCACGCAGCGGTGGGGCCTTCGGGCTGTTAGATGATATGTAAAAGTAAGCAAATAAGTAAGTAAGTAAAATTGTCCCTGTGCTTAACTAATTAAGCACAAAGCTATGAAGGTGTGCGCGTGAGTTGATATATAGATCCACATTTTCCTGACCTCGGCATTAGCTGGAGATGAGCAGTCAGTTTCAAGTCCCTGCCGCTTTACCCCCGGTACACATTGGATAGGAGGCTGGGTGGGCTTCAGAGCCGGTTTGGAAGACATGGAGAGGAAAATATTCTTGACGTTACCGGGACTCGAACTCCGACCCCACGATCATCCAGCCCGTAGCCAGTCGCTATACCAACTGCGATATTCCGGCTCTGCTGTAAGATGATAATATTTATTTATCTTCAGAGTTTCGAAAACAAACTTTTAACCTGATTACAGATGGAAACTCAGAATGTTTGTTTCAGAATAGTTACTGGCGTTATTGCCGGTCACGGTAGCCGAGCGGTCTACTGTCCTCGCTCGCTCGGAAGCCGAGATCGTGGGTTCGAATCCCACAGAAAGCATGGATGTTTTGTGTGAGTATGCGTTTATTCTGCATTTATGTTGCCCTGTGCTTAGGTAGATGCCTTTCGACGAACCGATCACCCGTCCAAGGAGCCCTACCGTCTGTAAGAATTATCGCGAAACTGAGAAATCAACCCTATGCTCCAAAGTGGGAGCAATAGGAGATAAAAAAGTGGCGTTATTTCGTGTATAAAATTTCCACGACAGTATGCCCACAGAAATAAAATGGTGTTTAATGAAAGTTATTGACTTTTGGCAGTGTCTATGCTGAGATGACTTTCTTCTTCTTATTCTACAGACGCAAGGATTGGGCCAGAGGCCTGTTTCGCTAAACTACAGGTCTAACAGCAGCTAATCTGCGAGTTGTCAGTAATGCCCTCACGGGAACAAATTATCTATTTATCTATCTGTCCGTCCGTCTGTCTATCTATCTATCTATGGCTCTACAGCCTTTGTGGACCTTGGCCGCTTTTTCAGTTCGGGAACAAAAAATATTACGAGGTGGTATCAGTAAATAGGTCACGAATCGCTATAAAACGTAAAACATGCAATATTCGACCATGGGCAAAAATGTTTACTTCTCGGCATTACTCCACTAACACTGCTACACTTGTCCCATTGCTATAGCACATGTCATATATAGTAATAACTGCGCTTTGAATGGAAAATCATTCCGTTAGTCACAGGAGTCTTTCGTCGGCTAATATGAACAATTTACCCAGACTGTGTCTTCCTTGTTGGAATGAATCTTTCAAAATGTTTTTGCATGCATTTTATTGCCGCCCGCCCAGCGATCGTCCCAACTGGCAGAGGATAGATGGAGTCCCTGTAGTAAAGGCGATCATACCGAGAAGCTGAACAACCACCTTCTTTCTATATATCTGCAGTTACAATTGTAATTGTTCTTTGCAGATCCCTAATGTGACTGGCTCCAGCTCCAGGAAACGGCAGTTCATTTCTCCAGATGGCTCTGACCATGCTTCTCATTTCTATCAGGTAAGAAACAGCATGCTATATTTAAAGGGAGTTGCCGATAACAGGAGCTGCGCGATCTAAGGCATGAACCGTCTTCCCTCGAACACTGGGACTGTGGATTCGAATCCCACTCGAGGCTTGGATGTCTGTGTGCGTTTATTCTGTTTTTATTTTGTTCTGTGTGTAGGTAGCGGTCTTGCGATGGGCTGATCCCCCGTCCAAGGAGTCCTACAAACTGTGTATAGGATTGAGAAACTGAAAAATCAAAGAAGTCCAAAGGGCTGTAGAGCTATAGAGAGAGAGAGAGAGAGAAAAAAAGGGAGTTGTGATTAATCTAATAGTCAGCCGACTGGTCGGCTATTTCTTTAATTGAAAGAAATTTTATTTATAATTTTTTGTGCAATTTGTGTTTCACTATCATGAGGATCGAATATCGGCCAAGATACCGGCTATCCTGTCTGAGGTTTCACATGCTTTTCCTCAGCTCCTCTATTCAAATGTCAGGCAAATACCTTCGATTACACTATATTACAGTCTTAACCTCACTCGGGAAACCAGCTATTCTGATTCAGGATGTGTGTAGTTTTCCTCAGTCCCTCCAGGAAATGTTGGGAAAGCATGTTGTACTAGGCTATGACCGCTTCTTTCCATCTCCCTTCCAATTCATTACTCATTAAATCAACCCATCGTTGGGCCCGGTATAATTTAGACACTGAAGGTAAAACGTAAAGGTAAAGCTAACCCTGTAAGAGGCCGTGAAGGCCCTTAGGGTTATGAGGCGGCGAGTCTCCCACATTTTGTCTAGAAAATCGGCTCACAGATGGCGGTAAGGTTGTCAGCTTTACGCTCCTGCCGCCTGAGTCGACCCCAGGGCCATAATGAGGATGGATTAGGTCAAATGAAAAATTCAATGACCTCATTGGGATTCGAACCAACGACCTTCCGGTTTGTAGCACAATGCCTCAACCAACTACGCTACCGCGTGCCCCCAATTTAGACACTAAAAACATGGCTAAATAAACAACTACATGGAATAGAGTATTCCTTGAGAAATTAATATTCCCACATCAAGACCAGCAATCCCCAGACTTTGGTATAGTTCTCCTTTATCCAATGCGATCTACATTCCCCGTCCATCTGGTCCGTTCCTATTTAATCGCACTTATAATATTTTGCGGAGAATATGAATTCTGGAGCACCTCGTTATGGAACGCGTTCGAACATCTGCTGCAACACCACTAGCTGCAAATTTAACGCCAGGGAATCGAACCCCGGAACGTGTGTTGCGACTTACTCCCATCATTTGACTATGCGACCCAGTAAGATCCAATCCATTCAGATGGATGTTTCGATATATAATTCATTGTCGATATATTTAAATTATCGATTGTTTGCGGTAAGGACAGCGTTTCGGCTAGGAGAAAGTTGTGGTAAGTGGCGCGTGCCATGACAGCATTCCTACCAACGTTGAATTGTAAAGCATCGCAACAAGAAACGAATATTTATCACTACTACAAGGATATCTTGGGCTACCTCAATAAAAGTCGCGTATCCGTGAACAATTTCATATAATCTGACACTTGATTCTTAAAAAAATTGTTACTACTAGGATTGCCAACCTTATCTACATATGCTTCTTTTTTGTTTATAATTAAGTTATCTTCACGACACCTGCTTTCTTACTGTTTTTTTTTATTTGGCTTATTCTTCGACTCTCAAGACGAAGGCGACATGTTCCTCCGAAACGTCGGTTTATTTTTGACGGAATTCGCGGCGTTACATTACAGAAGACAGAATTCTTCAATGTCTCAAATGTTTGTTTGTTAAAAACAACCGCTGTTCAGCTAAACGTAGAATAATGGACTTGAAACTGCTGATTTACAAGAGGATAAGGTAAAAGTAAAGGTATCTCTGTAATAAGTCGTGGAGGCCTAGAAGGTTGTGAGACGTCGAGGCTCCCATATTTTCTAGACAATCGACTCACAGATGGTGGTGAGGTTATCAGTCTAACGCCCCGGCCGCCCTTACCCCCAGATAGATTCCTGGTACTCCTTTCTGTTAGAGGCTGAGTCGACCCCAGGGCCAGAGTGCGGCTGGAAGGATTACGTCAATTGAAAAATCTACAATCCTCATCTGAAATCGAGCCCGCGACCTTCCAGCTAGTAGCACAGTGAGTCGGCAGTGAATCAGGATGATTCGAGAGCTAAGGAGGATGAGGTGGGCAGGTCATATAGCACGAATGGGGGAGACGAGGAATGCGTATAGGATATTGGTGGGAAAGTCAGAAGGAAAGAGACCACAGCGAAGACCAAGGNTGCATGGCTACGGTACCTCCAAGCTGTCCAATTGTTTACCACGCAAAAAATGCAGTGTAACATTGTTGGCCATTTTACAGTGCAAATATACAGCACTTATACGCTATATCGAATGGAGGATGACCTTTTTTTCCAATACTTCAGGATTGTATTCCTGAAGATATTTTTGTTGGTTGATGGGATATGCTGCAAGCCGGAAGGTCGCGAGTTCAAGTCCCGATGAGGTCACTGGATTTTTTTTCATTTCACCTAATCATTTCAGCCGCACTAGGGCCCTGGGGTTGACTCAGTCTCTAACAGAAATGAGTACCAGGAATTAATTAAATAATTTTCCTGGGCAGTAAAGCGCGGCCGGCGCGTAAGGCTGATAACCTTACCGCCATCTTTGAGCCGATTGTCTAGATAATGTGGGGCCCTCAACGTCTCACAATCCTATGGGCCTTTACGGCCTGTTACAGGGATAGCTTTACCTTTTACTTTTTACTGGCTCTACAGCCCCCTTGGGCCCTGGCCTCCGATTTTTCAGTTTCATGATAATTTTGCAGACGGTAGGACTCCTTGGACAAGTGAGCATCTCGTCGCAAGGCCCCCACCTAAACACAGAACAACATAAACAGAATAAACGCATACACACACCAAACATCCATGCCTTGTGTGGGATTCTAAACCACGATCCCGGCTTACGAGCGAGCGAAGACCATACATGCCTTAGACCGCTCGGCTACCGTGACCGTCCCCCAAGTTATTCACAGTCAGAAACATCTTGTGAAGATTGGTCTGATCCTCAGCAGTTACGATGCGGTGAATGCTCATATTGCGTTTACAAGGAGCAAATTTCTATCAGGTTTCAACTTGATGAACACCGCCTAACACATCCGAACGCAGCCGAATACCTCGCCATGCGTCATTAATTTGGTCTGCTTTTCAATGTGACTTGGCGTGACGCTTCTATTATTTTCAAGACTTTCTGTTGATATGCACCTGTTAAAGCCTATAAAACCTGACTGCTAAAAGGATGAAGACAAGTCAGCAAGTGAATTTTGTATTGAATATCAAATGTCTTCAAAATTATATATTTTTGGCGACAAAATGTGTAGAAATAAATATGACCAGAGAGTAGGAGTACGTTCATTTGCATTTCGTGCAAAAGAGACAGGTAAAACCCACAGGCGGGTGTACAGGATCTTCCAAAAAGAATGTTACTATTTTAAATTGTTGTAATTACGTTAATTATTTGTAAAAATGGTTTCATACGAGTATATTTCAAAACATAGAAAAACTCACCGAGTTTCATCTATCATTTGTATTCAAACGTGTTTGTAGGCAGCGCTGTAAACGAAAATGGCGACTCCACAACAAAAGGCGTTCTGTGTTTTGCGATTCGCGAAATCAGAATCGGTCATCATTGTGCAACGTGAGTTTCGCAAACAATTTTAAAGTGATCCATCATGTAAGACAAAAATTCTTCCGTGGTATCGACTGTTCCAGGAGAAAGGGTGTATTTGCAAGGGGAAAAGTCCAGGACGGCCCAGAATGTCAGAGGAAAATCTGAATCGAATTAGAGAGCTCATCACTTCAAAAAACTAAGACCAAGATGAGGGCCTAAATATTGCTTGTTTTCGCTTTGCAGCCATGTTACTTTTTTTTTTGTCTTATATTAAGAAATCTATATAAATAAAATTGACTCACACCCTGAGATGACGCCATTAAAGCGCTAACACTTTTATATAATAATGAAAGCGGATTAAGGTACAAGCTATTTGCGAATTTAAAAGTGAATGTCTATAATCCCGTTGTATTAATTTTACGTACATAGAATTACAGATTTTATTAAAACATAATTCTTATTGTAAAATAATAAAATGTTACAAGTTTCCGCGATATTAATTCGCCACCAACATACCTTAATATTTTAAATTTGGAGAGGAAGCTTTACAGGCGTCCTTTTCTTTGTAAATATATGATACATATATATAAAACACGGTAATAAATACCACATCCTTATGTACTTTAAGATACGTTAGAAATGTATTAGTTACTAAATTAACAAAAATACTTCGAAATGAGATCATCCATGTTCAATGTACAACTCACAGCGCTGTGAGACCTCTCTGCAAATTCACTGGTAGGTCAATAGTCTCAAAAATCTAGACATTGTCCTTAGTATGAGAGAATGGTTTAGGTTAATTGGCTTTTGGACCCATCTGTGTATCTTGTTAAACCATAATTTCAATTCATTGTTAACCTATCCGAAACAATAGATACTGAGAACTAAGTCACACCTTCAGTTTGGATGATCGAAGTTCTATTGCACCTTGAAGTGTCCCGTTGCTGGTCATTCGCCATCATCTCCATGCTCTCCATCTCCATGTCGCCTCCTCAATTCAAATACTTTCTCCGACAGTTTCGCGGCTTTACGTAAATAAACAGTGTCGCGTGGACAGCCTGCGGTCGGATGTCGCTTTCACCTGAACTTCAAACCAGTCCGGGCCTGCCATCAGAGCTCTGCGTAGTCATAGCCAGGTGTCTTACTACAACAAACTAACAACGAACTGACTAACTAACCAGTTAACAAATAAATAATTTAACTAACAAAATAGTTAAGGAACCGCTTGACTAACTAGTAACTAGCAAATTAACAATGTAACTAGATACTTAATTGACAAGTTAGCTAAATAATTCCCTGCACCTAACCAGCTAAATAAT